GTTGACCAGGATGGTCTCGATCTCTTGACCTCGTGATCCACCCGCCTCGGCCTCCCAAAGTGCTGGGATTACAGGCTTGAGCCACCGCGCCCGGCCTTGGTTGTGTATTTTTAGTAACTTTATTTTTTGATATTCCTGCCAAGCAAATATGATCATAAATACCTTGTTTATTTTTACGTCTGCACCTTCCTAGGAGAATTTCTTATCAGAGGGAAGCTGTCTCTACCAAACTTCCTTCTCTCTACCAAACTTCCTTGCAGCCTTGCACTTTGACCCAGTAATACTGCATCCAGAAGTCTAGCCTGGACCTGCATTAAGATTGTTGTTCTTTCTCTGTGCAGCCATCAGGTAAGCCAAGATGGGTGCACACAAGTACAACCAGGAGCAATGGAGAAAGAATTGCAGTCTGATGTCATGCACTTTCTTCTGAGGGTCTGCTGCTGGCAGTACCACCAGCTCTCTGCTCTCCTCAGGGGTCCCCGTCTCACCTGGCCTGATAAAGTGCACCAACTGGGCTACAAGGCCAAGCAAGGTTACGTTATATATACGATTCATGTTCATTGTGGTGGCCAAAAATGCCCAGTCCCTAAGGGTGCAACTTACAGTGAGCCATCATGGTGTTAACCAGTTAAAGTTTGCTCGAATCCTTCAGTCCATTGCAGAGGAGCAAGCTGGACGCCACTGTGGGGCTCTAAGAGTCCTGAATTCTCACTGGGTTGGTGAAGATTCCATATACAAATTTTTTGAGGTTATTCTCATTGATCCATTTCAAAAGCTATCAGAAGAAATCCTGACACCCAGTGGATCACCAAACCAGTCCACAAGCACTGGGAGATGTGTGGGCTGACATCTGCAGGCTGAAAGACCCGTGGCCTTGAAAAGAGCCATCAGTTCCACCACACTATTGGTGGTTCTCACCCGGCAGCTTGGAGAAGGCGCAATACACTCCACCTCCACCATTACCACTAATATAAGTAAAGTTTGTAAAATTCATACCTAATAAACAATTTAGAACAAAAAAAAGATATATGTTCTACATAGCAATTGTTGATAAAAGTGGAACACTGGAAACAAAGATCTAAATATCTTACAATATGGGATTGGTTAAAGAAATTATGGTCCATATAGTACATACACAGAAATACCAGGTAACTATTAAAATGGTGTTGTAGTCTT